ATTGGTAGTGTCCAGTGACTTGGTAGAGTACCAAACCTCAGGTGGTGTCCCAAACCTCAGGTGGTGTCCAGAGACTTGGTAGAGTACCAAACCTCAGGTGGTGTCCCAAACCTCAGGTGGTGTCCAGAGACTTGGTAGAGTCCCAAACCTCAGGTAGTGTCCCAAACCTCAGGTGGTGTCCAGAGACTTGGTTGAGTCTCAAACCTCAGGTTGTGTCCCAAACCTCAGGTTGTGTCCCAAACCTCAGGTTGTGTCCCAAACCTCAGGTTGTGTCCCAAACCTCAGGTGGTGTCCAGAGACTTGGTAGAGTCCCAAACCTCAGGTAGTGTCCCAAACCTCAGGTGGTGTCCAGAGACTTGGTAGAGTCCCAAACCTCAGGTAGTGTCCCAAACCTCAGGTGGTGTCCAGAGACTTGGTAGAGTCCCAAACCTCAGGTAGTGTCCCAAACCTCAGGTGGTGTCCAGAGACTTGGTTGAGTCCCAAACCTCAGGTTGTGTCCCAAACCTCAGGTGGTGTCCAGAGACTTGGTTGAGTCCCAAACCTCAGGTTGTGTCCCAAACCTCAGGTGGTGTCCAGAGACTTGGTTGAGTCCCAAACCTCAGGTTGTGTCCCAAACCTCAGGTGGTGTCCAGAGACTTGGTAGAGTCCCAAACCTCAGGTGGTGTCCCAAACCTCAGGTGGTGTCCCAAAACTTGGTAGAGTCCCAAACGTTGAGTGTCGAGAGGAGGATTTTTTAGAGACGGTCATCTCTGTCTGTCTCTCCAGGTATCATGTTCCCGTCTCTCTCGTCCCTCCCCTACCTGCTCTGCTTCCAACTGTTGTGCACCTGGTGGGCGTGGTCAGGCCAGGTCCCGCCCCTCCTCTTCAGGTGTGTTTCTGTGATGTCACTGGTCTACTCCGCCTCCCACTTCCTGCTTGTCTACTTCTACCAGCTACCCCTGCTGCAGGAGGCGTGGCCTCCCAACCGCACCTCCGCCAGGTAACACGCTCACACCAGGTAACACACCTTACCAGGTAACACACCTGAACAAGGTAACACACCTGAACAAGGTAACAAACTCTCACCAGGTAACACACATTACCAGGTAACACACCCCCGCCAGGTAACAAACTCTCACCAGGTAACACACCTCCCCAAGGTAATAGACCTCCACCAGGTAACACGCTAACACCAGATAACACACCTTACCAGGTAACACCCCCCCGCCAGGTAACACACCTCCCCAAGGTAACAAACTCTCACCAGGTAACACACCTTACCAGGTAACACACCTCCCCAAGGTAATAGACCTCCACCAGGTAACACGCTCACACCAGGTAACACACCTTACCAGGTAACACCCCCCCGCCAGGTAACACACCTCCCCAAGGTAACAAACTCTCACCAGGTAACACACCTTACCAGGTAACACACCTCCCCAAGGTAATAGACCTCCACCAGGTAACACGCTCACACCAGGTAACACACCTTACCAGGTAACACCCCCCCGCCAGGTAACACACCTCCCCAAGGTAACAAACTCTCACCAGGTAACACACCTTACCAGGTAACACACCCCCCCCAAGGTAACACACCTCCCCAAGGTAATAAACCTCCACCAGGTAACACATTTCGTTTTTTGGTCTAAGGCAGGCTCTGACCCTTTTCTGGAGAAATGCTTCAGAGTGATATTTGTTAGGATGAAATGGTTGAGTGTGTTTGAATCTGTGAGCAGCAGAGTCACGGCTTGGTGAAGGTCTCACATCCCTTATATTCCTTCAGTCTGTAACCGGAGGGGGTGTTTGGGTGTTCTTGTTTTGTTACTCTTCTGCCTACAAAATAAAAGTGCTTCAGCTTTTCTAAAAACAGAACCCAGACTGTGTTCAGTGAAGACAGCAGGTTATAACTAGAGAATGCAATTCCTGAGGAAATTGCTCGTGGGAATGCGTGAACTCTGGGGGCTTGAATGTGTGATGAGAGAAGAAAAGAAAAAAGGCTTGGAAAAGCAGCAGAATATTTGAACTGCAAACGTTTGAACTAACTTGATGGCGAATGATCTGTCGCCATGCCAACGGCATTTGATGACATCCCATAATACGCTTAGATGCGTTGATGGCTGCATCGTTATCGAAAACCGTGTTTCATGGTGAGCATTGTGTTGCCATGGCAACGGCAATTGAAGAAATCTCAAACTGTCCCGTAGATGTCTTCACACATGTGAAGTTTGAGCACTTTTTGAACATTTTCGCTGAGTTATAGCGACATCATCTTTTATGTACGGCGGCTAAATCACTGGTATCTTTTTATTTATAAATCATTGTTAGGGAAACTTCCGTCTTACATCTGTTCCCTGATCTCACAGCGTATTGTAAATGGCTACTGCCTGAGATCTAAAGCTGTGGTTGTATTACATGTGCCAACTGCTAGGACTGTATTAGGAAATACAGCTTTTAGATGCGCAGCGCCGCTAGCATGGAACAGTCTACAAAAGGAATGGAAGCTAAGCAGTTTGATTCCATTTCATGTTTTTAAAGCTAGGATAGACGCTATACAATCAGAAAATATTGGTGTCTGTAAATGCTACTAGTATACAAACTGTAGTATCATATAATGTCCTTTGTTTTCTGTCATGTTTGTATTAATGTTTGGAACTAATTGAAGCAGGTCACCATTGTAAAAGAGGTCTATGATCTCAATGGGTTTTATCTGTATAAATAAAGGTTTTGAATTTGAATTTGAATTTATGGCGAGGGATGCATTTCCATGGAAACGGCATATGGTGAGATCTCACATTTGACGTAGAACTGTTGAGGCATGGAGAGGTGATATACAGGTGAAGATTGTGGGACGACCAGACCGTGTCCATTGGAGTTACAGCGACATCGTGTTTTATGGCGAGGGATGCGTTTCCATGGAAACGGAATATGAAGACACCCCATAATTGACGTAGTGCTGTTGAGGGCAGGACCATTAACCATTATCTGAAGTCTGCTGCTGTTTTATGGCGAGGGATGCGTTGCCATAGTAACACCACATTACGTAACATCAGATTTGATGTAGAGCTGCGTTAACCTCTACCTGGAGTCAGCTGCTCTGAGCGACCTTTAACCTCTACCTGAAGTCTGCTGCATGTCAGCTGGAGTGATGACATCATCGTGTTCCATTACACAGGTGTTTCTAGTTGAGCTAACGAGGCGTCCAGAGATCACAGGTTTCCATTGTTCTGAATGAGAGATGAACCTCTTACATGTGAACGTTTTGTGGAAGAACCGTAACAGATATCGGTGACATTTCAAAGTGTGAAGCATGTCAAGGAAGTTGAGTATCTGAAGTGTAATTGTTGTGTACTTTCGGGTTAATAATGTGGCCTTTTTGGCAGTTTAACTAAAGGTGTGCGGCTGCTGTAGTGGGGAAAGGTGAGGCTGAACTTACAATGGGCTTTAATGGAGACATGTTGAACGTTTGTGTCACTTCATGCCCTCAAAAGGCATTTAGTTTAATTGTTTTGCTTAATTTATTTGTATTTCTCAAGCTATGAGATGTTTTCCTACGTTTGCCAAGAAAAATTATGTCTCAGGAATGTAGGGTTTTGGAATTATGGCAGGTTTAAAAGAAAATATGAAGGCAAAACGAAATCTGTCCTCCACTCTAGCTGTGACATCACGCACTCTAAACTCTGAAGAAGGCCTCTGTACCAAGGTCTGAACAATGTTTAATATCTCTAAAAGTATGAATCTGATTTAAAAGTTGTTTAATATGAATAATGTCAGAAAGATGTGACATTTTTAAGTTGGAATGAGCTTTCTGAGTGAAAGTATGAAAGTAGTATTACTGATCCCACTTCCATCACATTAGTATGCATAACAAGTGACAGGTGGGCCCGCCCCCAATTATGCTAATGAGCTAAGTCCCGCCTCCCTTTGTTCGAGGTGTTTTCACACGTAGGTGTGATATCCTTTGATGTGAGGGCTGAGGTGTCATCACACGTAGGTGTGAGATGCCCCCCTGTAGTAGCGCCTTTGTTGTCTGTTCTTTGATGTGAGGGTTGATGTGTTATAACATGCCGGTGTGATATATCGCACCGGCATGTTATAAACCTTGGATGTTAATCTATGTGTTGATTAAGACTCTCTTTGAAGTTGTGCGTGAGACTGTCTCGCACCCCATCCCCTCACACCCCCTGCCTCTCCCCCCTTTCTCCACCCCTTCCTGTCACAACCCCTTCCTTTGGCTATGAGGCCAGAAGATAGTGGGGGTGGAGTTAGGTAAAAAAAAAGAAATCCGTGTTATAACCAGTGGCGTAGCCACCATAGGGCCAGGGTGGGCCCAGGCCCACTCAGTTTACTCATTGGCCCACCCTGAGAAAGCTTCGGTGTTATTTAAAAAACTTTTTTTTTGATTTTATTATTATTAATAATAAAAAAATGTATTCACCCATTGAGAATATCCAAGAATTCAAAGTGAAATTCAAGTGAACAAATATCGAGTTTAATTAATGTTGTATGTCTTTTATCCTCTGAACCAAACTCATTTACGGTAAAAACTGATTGTTGGTTCCGTCGCGCGCCATAATAACGTGAGCGAGTCAGAGAGCTGCCTGCAAAATAAATGATGGCTCAAAGTTCACTAATGAACTTTTGGTTTAAAAAAAAAAGCCAGACTCCAAGAAGAGCCCCCACTGCCCTCATCTAGCAGCGATCTATACGATCATATTCTGATAACGATGAAATAGCCCCGCCTCCCTCTCCCTCTCCCCACCTCTCCTGCTGCTGGGCTGTCAGAAGAACAACAAATGTTAACGGAAACTACACAGGGTTGGGTTGTAACGGAATGTAATGGAATGTAACGGAATGTAACGGCGTTACGTAATCAGAATACAAAAATCAAGTAGGCTAACTGTATTCAGCTGGCGTTACATTTGAAAAACAAGTAATCTGATTACAGTTGCTTTCGTAAACCTGAAGTGAATACATTTTGGAATACTTATTGGAATTATTGGTGGAAAAGTTTCCTCACAAAATGTAATATTCATTACCGGCAGAACTGTGTGCACACTGCACGGCGCTGCAGCATGTCTGTGAGCGAGAGAGAGATGCAGCGTGTCTGTGAGGCCCCGCCCCCGCACGCAGGTGAGAGCGAGATCTCTTTTAAACTATATTGAAAGTTAGAAACGGAGATGGTTAGATAAAATGTGCAAGATAACGTTTATGAAGCATTTCTTTATTGTCGAAATGATGACATTTCATAACGGGATCAAATCAAAGTGAATGGCCTGCTGCTGCTGAATGCATGGGGCAGCCTTTCAAAAGCACCCAAGGACACCTTACAATTCATAACATATTTTAAGGAAAGGTTTTAAGACAGTACAAAGAATGCAGTCCGGGTGATGGAAAGTATTCCAAAAGTATTCTAAAAGTAATCTGCCACCGGTACCGGCGGGGATTGTTGTTAGCTTCTGATGCGCAGAAGAAAAATCTGGCCCACCCTATTTTTTACAGGCCCACCCTAAAGTACATTTCTGCCTACGCTACTGGTTATAACACCTCAACCCTCACATCAAAGGATTAGACAACAAAGGCGCTACTACAGGGGGGCATTTCACACCTACGTGTGATGACACATCACCCCTCACATGGGGGGTGTGACAGGAAGGGGCGGGAGGCAGGGGTTTGAGGGGACGGGGTGCGAGACAGTCTCACACACAACTTCAAAGAGACTGCCTTAATTAACACCTAGATTAACATCAGAGGCTTATAACACACCTCAACCCTCACATCAAAGGATTAGACAACAAAGGCGCTACTACAGGGGGGCATTTCACACCTCAAACTAAGGGAGGCGGGACTTAGCTCATTAGCATAATTGGGGGCGGGCCCATCGGTCACTTTTTATGCATACTAATGTATGGAAGCGGGATCAGTAATATTACTTATGAAGGAGCAGTTAGCAGTTGAAGTCGCATGAAGATTGTTCAAGTCTGATGAGTTTCTCCATTGACTTCCATGTTAAAATTGTGATGAATTATGGGATGTATCTCTGGAATTATGAAAGTTGTGAATGAAAAAAGTAATAGCCATCAATTCCCGACCGAGCTGAACGTTTTGATGTTTGAACGGAGTTTCTGCGAAGTGGAATGTGGGAGAATAAGAGGTGCAAAATAACACGGCGGAATAATAAAGAATGTTGTGCGTCGAAGAACAAGTAGTGGGAATGCTGTGTCAGCATTCCCACTAAATTACCTGCTCTATAATTACTCTATAAACACATGCTGCTGTAAACAGGGGGGCTGCTGCCCCCTGCTGGGGGTCTGAGGGAACACTGATTTAACATTACAGTGTCCCCTCCCAGTGTTCTGGGACTCCTCCCCCTGGTTTATCACTGATAGTGTTATGCCCCTCCCACAGTGTTCTGGGACTCCTCCCCCTGGTTTATCACTGATAGTGTTATGCCCCTCCCACAGTGTTCTGGGACTCCTCCCCCTGGTTTATCACTGATAGTGTTATGCCCCTCCCACAGTGTTCTGGGACTCCTCCCCCTGGTTTATCACTGATAGTGTTATGCCCCTCCCACAGTGTTCTGGGACTCCTCCCCCTGGTTTATCACTGATAGTGTTATGCCCCTCCCACAGTGTTCTGGGACTCCTCCCCCTGGTTTATCACTGATAGTGTTATGCCCCTCCCACAGTGTTCTGGGACTCCTCCCCCTGGTTTATCACCGATAGTGTTATGCCCCTCCCACAGTGTTCTAGGACTCCTCCCCCTGGTTTATCACTGATAGTGTTATGCCCCTCCCACAGTGTTCTGGGGCTCCTCCCCCTGGTTTCTTACTGATAGTGTTATTCCCCTCCCAGTGTTCTGGGGCTCCTCCCCCTGGTCTCGATGGACTGTGTTGACCCCTGGAGGCTGACGGTGACCTCTGACCTCCACTGGTTCCACTTCAGCTCGCCCCTGATGGTTCTGCTTCTCTACCACACGGTGGCGTCGCTCCGGAGGAACCAGGTGTGTTATCTCATCTCTCATTGGTCGACGCATTCAGTGTTTGTTTACTGAGGTTCACATTGGCTGACGGGGATCACATGTTTCCTCAGCTGATCGACTGTGGGCGGGGCTTAGAGAGGGCGGGGTCGGAGGTCGGTGGGAGCTGTGACATCATCACCACCACCAGCAACCTGAGCGATGATGTCATCGGTGACATCACAGCGGAGAAACGGCGAGAGATGTGGAGACGAGCTCACCGGAGCAGAGACGTACGTATATTAACACTTGTTATTATTATTATTATTATTATTATTATTATCATCATCATCAATATATTTCAGTCTTTAGTCTGAAGCGTGTCTCTGTCTCTAGGTGCTGACATCGTCCAATCAGAGTCCCTCTGACTCTTTTGCCCCGCCCACCCAGAGCACAGCTCTCGGATTAGATAATTACTCAACACCTCACTACTCCCTAAGCCAATCAGGTGAGCTGTCCACCTGTTCACCTGTCTACCTGCTCACCTGTCCACCTGTCTCACCTGTCTACCTGTCTCACCTGTCCACCTGTCTCACCTGTCCACCTGTCTCACCTGTCTCACCTGTCTCACCTGTCCACCTGTCTCACCTGTCCACCTGTCTCACCTGTCTCACCTGTCTCACCTGTCTCACCTGTCTCACCTGTCCCACCTGTCCACCTGTCTCACCTGTCTCACCTGTCTCACCTGTCTACCTCTGCTGCAGACACGTTGGAGACCTGTGAGTTTGGTGCAGACGGCTGGGAGGAGCCTCAGATGAGTCCGGGTGAGGTGGGCGGGGCCTGTCCAGGTGAGGGGGGCGGGGCCTGGAGCTTCCTGCTGCAGCAGAGCTACCTGTGTGCCCTGATGGCCATGATGCTGTGGCCCGTCAGCTACGTGTCGTGGCTCACCTGTGTGCTGCTGCTCTGGTCCTGTCTGCTCTGGATGCTGAAGGAGCGACGCCGTTACACTATGATGTCATCGCCCTGGCTGGTCGCCTACGGCAACCTGCTGGTGCTGTTGCAGTACATCTACAGCTTCCCCCCCGCACAGGAAGTGCCTGGGCTGTTCCCACGGAAACAAGATCCCTGCAGGGAGCTGGCCTCAAAGGTACCAATACTTCTACTTATATATACCACTAATACTACTACATATATATGTGTTGATGTGTACTCTGTACTCTGTGTTGATGTGTACTCTGTACTCTGTGTTGATGTGTACTCTGTACTCTGTGTTGATGTGTACTCTGTGTTGATGTGTACTCTGTACTCTGTGTTGATGTGTACTCTGTGTTGATGTGAACTATGTGTACTCTGTGTTGATGTGTACTCTGTGTACTCTGTGTTGATGTGTACTCTGTGTTGATGTGTACTCTGTGTTGATGTGGACTCTGTGTTGATGTGGACTCTGTGTTGATGTGGACTCTGTGTTGATGTGTACTCTGTGTTGATGTGTACTCTGTGTTGATGTGTACTCTGTGTTGATGTGGACTCTGTGTTGATGTGTACTCTGTGTTGATGTGTACTCTGTGTTGCAGCTGTTGTGTCTGCTGAGCTTCTGGCTGCTGCTGAGACAGGCTCTGACTGAGAAGAGAGACAGACAGGAGGACACACAGCTGTCTACCATCACTGTCCACATGGAGGGTAAGACACCTGTCTCAATGCTCACCTGTCTCACCTGCCTCAATGCTCATCTGCCTCAATGCTCATCTGTCTCACCTGCCCACCTGTCTCACCTGCCTCACTGCTCACCTGCCTCACTGCTCACCTGTCTCAATGCTCACCTGTCTCAATGCTCACCTGTCTCAATGCTCACCTGCCTCAATGCCCACCTGTCTCACCTGCCCACCTGTCTCACCTGCCTCAATGCTCACCTGCCTCACTGCTCACCTGTCTCAATGCTCACCTGTCTCAATGCTCACCTGCCTCAATGCCCACCTGTCTCACCTGCCTCACTGCTCACCTGCCTCAATGCTCACCTGTCTCACCTGCCCACCTGTCTCACCTGCCTCAATGCTCACCTGCCTCACTGCTCACCTGTCTCAATGCTCACCTGTCTCAATGCTCACCTGCCTCAATGCCCACCTGTCTCACCTGCCTCACTGCTCACCTGCCTCAATGCTCACCTGCCTCAATGCTCACCTGTCTCACCTGCCCACCTGTCTCACCTGCCTCACTGCTCACCTGCCTCAATGCTCACCTGTCTCACCTGCCTCAATGCTCACCTGCCTCACTGCTCACCTGTCTCAATGCTCACCTGCCTCACTGCTCACCTGTCTCAATGCTCACCTGTCTCAATGCTCACCTGCCTCAATGCTCACCTGTCTCACCTGCCTCACTGCTCACCTGTCTCAATGCTCACCTGCCTCAATGCTCACCTGTCTCACCTGCCTCAATGCTCACCTGTCTCAATGCTCACCTGTCTCAATGCTCACCTGTCTCAATGCTCACCTGCCTCAATGCTCACCTGTCTCACCTGCCTCAATGCTCGACTGTCTCACTGCTCACCTGTCTCACCTGCCTCAATGCTCGACTGTCTCACTGCTCACCTGTCTTAATGCTCACCTCTCTCACCTGTTTTAATGCTCACCTGTCGTAATGCTCACCTGTCTCAATGCTCACCTGTCGTAATGCTCACCTCTCTCACCTGTCGTAATTCTCACCTATCTCAATGCTCACCTGTCTTAATGCTCACCTCTCTCACCTGTCTCAATGCTCACCTGTCTCAATGCTCACCTGTCGTAATGCTCACCTGTCTCAATGCTCACCTGTCGTAATGCTCACCTGTCTCAATGCTCACCTGTCTTAATGCTCACCTGTCTTAATGCTCACCTCTCTCACCTGTCTCAATGCTCACCTGTCTCAATGCTCACCTGTCGTAATGCTCACCTGTCTCAATGCTCACCTGTCGTAATGCTCACCTGTCTTAATGCTCACCTGTCTTAATGCTCACCTGTCTTAATGCTCACCTGTCGTAATGCTCAACTGCCTCACTGCTCACCTGTCTTAATGCTCACCTGTCTTAATGCTCACCTCTCTCACCTGTCTTAATGCTCACCTGTCGTAATGCTCACCTGTCTCAATGCTCACCTGTCGTAATGCTCACCTCTCTCACCTGTCTTAATGATCACCTGTCGTAATGCTCACCTGTCTTAATGCTCACCTCTCTTAATGCTCACCTGTCTTAATGCTCACCTGTCGTAACGCTCACCTGTCGTAATGCTCACCTGCCTCACTGCTCACCTGTCTTAATGCTCACCTGTCTTAATGCGCACCTCTCTCACCTGTCTTAATGCTCACCTGTCGTAATGCTCACCTGTCTTAATGCTCACCTGTCTTAATGCGCACCTCTCTCACCTGTCTTAATGCTCACCTCTCTTAATGCTCACCTGTCTTAATGCTCACCTGTCGTAACGCTCACCTGTCGTAATGCTCACCTGCCTCACTGCTCACCTGTCTTAATGCTCACCTGTCTTAATGCGCACCTCTCTCACCTGTCGTAATGCTCACCTGCCTCACTGCTCACCTGTCTTAATGCTCACCTGTCTTAATGCGCACCTCTCTCACCTGTCTTAATGCTCACCTGTCGTAATGCTCACCTGTCTCAATGCTCACCTGTTGTAATGCTCACCTCTCTCACCTGTCTTAATGCTCACCTGTCGTAATGCTCACCTCTCTCACCTGTCGTAATGCTCACCCGTCTCAATGCTCACCTGTCTTAATGCTCACCTCTCTCACCTGTCTCAATGCTCACCTGTCTTAATGCTCACCTCTCTCACCTGTCGTAATGCTCACCCGTCTCAATGCTCACCCGACGTAATGCTCACCTGTCGTAATGCTCACCTGTCGTAATGCTCACCTGTCGTAATGCTCACCTGTCTTAATGCTCACCTGTCGTAATGCTCACCTGTCTTAATGCTCACCTGTCTTAATGCTCACCTGTCGTAATGCTCACCTGTCGTAATGCTCACCTGCCTCACTGCTCACCTGTCTTAATGCTCACCTGTCTGTCTGTGTGCCCTCCAGACGAGGAGAAGGGTGATACAGGTGAGGTCTCGTACGAGCAGGTGCTCCTGCAGAAGGGGGGGGTGACGATGGAGGCTCTGGTTGCCGTGGTTACCCGGATGTTCGTGAAGTACTGGATCTACGTCTGTGGAACCATGTTCTTCTTTGTGAGCTTCGAGGGGAAGATCGTCCTCTACAAGGTCATCTACATGGTGCTGCTGCTGTGCTGCAGCACCCTCTACCAGGTGAGACATGGTACTACAGGTACTAATACATACAGGTACTAAAACATATACTACAGGTACTACAACATACAGGTACTACTACATATACTACAGGTACTACAATATACAGGTACTACAACATACTACAGGTATTAATACAAGGTCATCTACATGGTGCTGCTGCTGTGCTGCAGCACCCTCTACTACGGCACTGCAGGTAATGCAGATCAGTACTGTCTGTCTCTCACCTGTCTGTCTCTCTGTAGTTGAACTACGAGCGTTGGCGTGCCATGCTCAGGGGCTTCTGGGTAGCAGTGGTGGTTTATTCCATGCTGGTGCTGATCCTGGTCTACACCTTCCAGTTCCCCACGTCCCCCCAGACCTGGAGCTACTACACCGGACTCAGTACTCACAGGTACGTACACACACACACACACACACACACGCACATGCACACGCACACGCACACACTGATGGTTCTTAGCAGTGTTTCCGCCAGACCAGGGCTGAGAGGGCTTGAATTTTGACTTGAGCCGTCCTTTATACACTGAACAAAAATATAAATGCAACACTTTTGTTTTTGCTCCCATTTTTCATGAGATGAACTCAAAGATCTAAAACATTTTCTATAAACACAAAATAACCATTTCTCTCAAAAATTGTTCACAAATCTGAAAAAATCTGTGATAGTGAGCACTTCTCCTTTGCCGAGATAATCCATCCCACCTCACAGGTGTGGCATATCAAGATGCTGATTAGACAGCATGATTATTGCACAGGTGTGCCTTAGGCTGGCCACAATAAAAGGCCACTCTGAAACATGCAGTTTTGCTTTATTGGGGGGGTCTGGGGGGGTCCGAAAACCAGTCAGTATCTGGTGTGACCACCATTTGCCTCACGCAGTGCAACACATCTCCTTGGCATAGAGTTGATCAGGTTGTTGATTGTGGCCTGTGATTGGTCCACTCCTCTTCAATGGCTGAGCCAAGCTGCTGGATATTGGCAGGAACTGGAACACGCTGCCGTATACGCCGATCCAGAGCATCCCAAACATGCTCAATGGGTGACATGTCCGGTGAGTATGCTGGCCATGCAAGAACTGGGATGTTTTCAGCCTCCAGGAATTGTGTACAGATCCTTGCAACATGGGGCCGTGCATTATCATGCTGCAACATGAGGTGATGGTCGTGGATGAATGGCACCACAATGGGCCTCAGGATCTCGTCACGGTATCTCTGTGCATTCACAATGCCATCAATAAAATGCACCTGTGTTCGTCGTCCATAACATACGCCTGCCCATACCATAACCCCACCACCACCATGGGCCACTCGATTCACAACATTGACATCAGAAAACCGCTCACCCACACAACGCCACACTCGCTGTCTGCCATCTGCCCTGAACAGTGAAAACCGGGATTCATCCGTGAAGAGAACACCTCTCCAACGTGCCAGACGCCATCCAATGTGAGCATTTGCGACGACGACGAACCGGAGTCAGGTCGAGACCCCGATGAGGACGACGAGCATGCAGATGAGCTTCCCTGAGACGGTTTCTGACAGTTTGTGCAGAAATGCTTTGGTTATGCAAACCGATTGTTGCAGCAGCTGTCCGAGTGGCTGGTCTCAGACGATCTTGGAGGTGAACATGCTGGATGTGGAGGTCCTGGGCTGGTGTGGTTACACGTGGTCTGCGGTTGTGAGGCCGGTTGGATGTATATATACATATACAGGGGTGCACATAACTGGTACGCATGCGCGGCATCAATCTGAAATGCGTACCGTCTCTTATGTCACAAAGCACATTTGCGTACCGACGTACTTGTGAAGCTTTTCCAGAAGGCGGTTGGATCACCGGACGACAGAGTCGGTCTCCGTGTGCACAGACAGGGCTGCTGTTAACGTCGGTCTGTACAACGGAACTGTGCCAAAACTACGCCAACCGGCTGCGGAGGGAGACTCCTCCCCCTTCACTGGAGAACTGCGCTAAAACAGCCGATCACAACGTTCACACTCTGTGGTCACGAAGTACTCCACTAGCCCCCCCCCCGTCGACTTTCCTGAAGTACTCCACTAGCACTTTGAGTGGAGCCAGAAGTTGGAGTACCAAACACTGACTCCAGGTACTCATCTGAGTACCTCACTGAGAAAGTTGTGTGCACCCCTGAGCATATACCACGGCCTGTCGTGAGCTATTGCTTAATTATACTACAACTTATATATACTACAACTTATACTGCTTATACTACAACTTATATATACTGCTTATACTACAACTTATATATACTGCTTATACTACAACTTATAATTAGGGCCGGGACTTTAACGCGTTAATTAAGATTAATTAATTACACAAAAATTAACGCGTTAAAAAAATGAACGCATTTTAATCGCACTTATTTTTGCACCGCGGAACGTTTCTCGCTGGATGAGTTTCAGGCGTACCGATTATACTGGAGCACCAACTAACGTTCATGACTTCAGACAACAACAAACCACAGTGAACAACAGTGGCAAATGTTGTTTTAAAAAACGGACGGATGGAAGCGTCGATAAGAGCACGGTTGTGTGCAAATTATGCAAAAAGGAATTCGCATATCACCGCAGCACATCAAGCCTCAAGTATCACCTCAATGCAAAACATATAGCAGCTAGCGTGGAAGCTAGCGTGGACGTTAGCCTCTTTTATCGCGTTCACACCAAAAAGAGCCGGTACTAAAATTAGTTCATGAGAACCTTTTTACCCCCACGAAAGTCCCTGCTAGAGAGCAGAGAGCTGCTAGAGAGCAGGGACTTTCGTGCGGCTCTCTTGTGAGAAAAGAGCTATATGTCTGATTGGCTGGGCGGATTGCAAACCACGCCCCGTAAAACTCCCAAAAGTTTTGTGAAGCCGCCATTTTATTATCCTTGCATTAGCATTATTAGCATTAGCCCAGCGCAGAAAACGCAGAGAGACTAACTTATGGCAACACAAAATAAAACATGGGAGCGGGTGGAGATGAGGAGGTGTCGGCGTTCTGGTGATTTACTCGGAAGGCTTCAGTAGAAGCTGCTGGGACTCCCAGCAGCTTCTACTGAAGCCAGTCCCCAACTCCGGGGACTTCTGGCCGGGGACTTTGGGCGGCAGTATACGCCGTGAAGTGGTTTGCGGCCTGCCAGTAAACCCAAAGCAGAAGAAGAAGAAGTGACGTCAGCGGCTTCATTTGCCTAATCCACCCCCAGGTTCAAAGAGTTCTCATGAACCTTTGTGGGAAAAGTACTGCGGTGTGAATGCGCCTAATGGTATACTAAAATCCATGTGAAAAAATTGCTTCTCACTGTTCTCAGGTCAAATATTTATATGTGATTAAAATGCGATTAATTTCGATTAATTAATTACAAAGCCTCTAATTAATTAGATTACTTTTTTTAATCGAGTCCCGGCCCAACTTATAATACAACTTATATATACTATAACTTATATATACTACTTATACTTAAGCAACAGCTGACGACAGGCCGTGGTATAGCTTGTAATTGACCATCACTGCTAAACTGAAGAGCCTGTAAATAATGTAGCCGGATCTCCAACTGTTTTGCCTGGTCTGACGCTAAAGAAGTGAGAGCCAATCATTCTCAGGGACTCCTCATGCTTGACCATCTTCACATGGTAGGGTGAGGGTCTGATTCTTCACATGGTAGAGTGAGGGTCTGATTCTTCACATGGTAGAGTGAGGGTCTGATTCTTCACATGGTAGGGTGAGGGTCTGATTCTTCACATGGTAGAGTGAGGGTCTGATTCTTCACATGGTAGGGTGAGGGTCTAATTCTTCACATGGTAGGGTGAGGGTCTGATTCTTCACATGGTAGAGTGAGGGTCTGATTCTTCACATGGTAGGGTGAGGGTCTGATTCTTCACATGGTAGAGTGAGGGTCTGATTCTTCACATGGTAGGGTGAGGGTCTGATTCTTCACATGGTAGGGTGAGGGTCTGATTCTTGCAGTCTGGAGTCTGATCTCTCGGGACGATGATATCCGTTATCGTGACCTGCAACACGGTGCTTCCGTGTTATCAGAACCCCATATTTCATGGCAAGCTCAGGAAACACATTCGCCACATTTGCATTGCGGTTCTGATAACCGCAACCATCGCTCCACACTACTATCTCCTTGATTTCTGGATTGTCTTTGATCACACCTTCAAAATGGCGATATTAAATGTGTGCGAATACCTCGCTTCTGAGGTTGCCCTCTGACTCTTCCCAAATATAGCAGTGCCCTTCCTTTGATTTCAGGTCAAAGAGGGTAAAGTTATGGACCTGCAGCTTCGTTTTGTAATACAGGCAGCTGGCTTGGGTTTTTGGACACAGCAGCACGGCTTGCAAGTCCATTGTCCAAACAGACTTCTCATTGTTCATAGAATCCTTATTGCGGGATTTGTCTTGCCTCGCTTCATCTTTCTGGTTTACATGCGCCTCATATTCGTCCTTACTGATATTTCCATGCTTGAATTAAACACAAACATCACACTGATCTTTTCGTGGAATGAAAACGGAATATTTTGTGAAATGTTTTATCCCAACAGCTCTCACTTCAGCAGTTGCAGCTGCCTGTTGATATTCCCGATGTAGTTGGGAGATGGTTGTGCCTGGGTGAAGGAACTTCTTGTCTTTGTAGGTCGCTGGGCTTCTGCAGTAGTGCAAATCAACAGTGGGCAGATCCTTCAACCAGTCCTTAAGAAAATCTGTGACAGCATTTCCAGCTTTGCATTTTTGCCACTCTTAGATCGAGATGTAGTTGGCGGGTCTGCCACTTGTTCGTCATGGTCGATGGTGTCTTTGTTCAGCCAGTGTAATGGTTCTTTCAGGGATACCAAGTGTAGAAGAAAGAGCTTTGCACACTTTAAGATTCGTTCCATCCTGAAGTTTCAGTTGGTAGGAAAATGATGAACTGCGCCTGGATCCCTCACCAACTTTCTTTTGCTTCATGGCAACCTTTGTGACCAAAGTGGTGACGTATAACCGATGTTCTTCCCAGTTGTCCATTGACCAAACTTTCTGAAATATCCACTGCCTCTGCTCTTCTGTAATGGATTGACAGTCTCAAGTTGTGACTCGTTGACAGAACTTCAAATTGCAGGGAAGGCCCATAGCCTTTGCAGGCAGCTATTTCTTTGCCACCTTTGGCCTTGTATGCCATTCCTTTGAGACGTTTCTTCTTGGATTCATTTTGCTTCCATGTTTCCGAGGTATTTATGTTTCCTTTTGACGGTATTGTTTTCATACACATCCTCTAGATGAGGACCATAATGTTCTGAAGTTGCTGCCAGACTGTCTTCATTTTCAGGGAGAGAGGACTCATCAGAGGATGGATTGTAGTTTGGGTCTATGATAACATCATCATCACCAGTGTCTTCTTCATGGTGTGGACGGGT